TTAAGCCTTGTGTCCACGATGCTAGAAATCGGTCCGAGATCTCGGACAGAGAAAAAATTAACAAATCACATTGGAATAATTTGATCGCATGACCGTTGCGATTGGTCAATGCTTTCTTCATCCGAGATCTCGGACCGATTTTTAGCGTCGTGAACACAAGGCTTTATACCATGGACGATACGGCCAGATCACGTCAGATATATGTACACTGTGGCATGTAGTATTATTCGAACTAACGGAGTAGACATAACGTGGTAATAGACGGAGCGCCAAGACTTCGAGACAGAGTGTCACATGAGAAGCGGAGCAAAGGTCCGCTAGGATGGGAGGGGAGTGGTTGAGGCAGGGAGTAAAGCGCCTGCGCAGGTCTCAAGGAGGAGGCGCGAGAATATAAACTTAGAATTGCCTGCCACATAGTTTACTGAAATTGGTTATAAGCCTACAAAGGTATTCAGAGGGTTTAGAAATTGCTTGAGCGAATTTAGTTAAGTTATCGCGTGCAGATGAAATTTGATTGATGGCGCAACGTATAAGTCTCGCACTACCCCTGGATTCTGGACACTCGTATATCATATGAATCATGTCTTGTTGTGGTGACCCACAGGGACAGGAAGGATCATCGATTAAATTTTTCCGGTGGAGGCTGTAATTTAGATTGTAATGGTCGGAACGCAAGCGGTTGATCATGACAATGCTCTCTCTAGGAATGTTCATACGAAAATACCAAGGCTTGGCGGACCTTTTGAAAATATTAGTGAAGTAAAAGGAGCCCTTAATATCTGCTTGAGATTCTAGATATAGGTAAAAGTTATCAGAGATTTCTTGCTTAGTGACCGCGCATAGATCGGAGTATGGTACTTTAAAGTTGCGTTCAATACCTTGGCGAATTGCACGTTTGGCTAATTGATCAGCTTTTTCGTTTCCGGAGATCCCCCTATGGGAGGGTATCCAGATGAAGTTAATTTCTGTACCCTTAGATTCAGCTTTCACTAACACAGATCGGATAAGCGGAATGAGGTAGTTATTTGTTGGGTTGCGAAAGCTTTTGACCGCCTCAAGGACGCTTTTAGAGTCCGTAATAATAATTGCCTTTGGTAGTTTGCGATCGATGGCCAGCGTGATAGCGGTGTAGATCGCATATGCCTCCGCCGAGAAAACGGAGGCATACGGTGGAAGTTTAAGCATAAGCTCCCATTGCAACTGTGGGGCGAAAACCGCCGCCCCCACGTGCGTGCTATGATCCACCTTAGACCCGTCGGTATAGAAAAGAGTTGAGTCAGATGTGAGATCTCGAAATTCCTGTTCAAAGAAGGATTGTGCGTTAGGTATAGGAAATGCGTTAACTACATCCGCCGGGGGGAGCGAAAGAGTAGCGTAGGAGAGAGAGATAGTAGTGGAGCGAAAAGAAGAACGAAATCCAGGTAGAGTGAGAGAGCAGTCAGTAGAAGGGTGATAGGATATCCACGTACGATGGAAAATAAGGGCCGCAGGAAAGTGCGTGTGTAAGTAGTTAGTTCTAAAGGTGCCGACAGCCAGGTCGCAAAGTTGATGCAACTTATCGACAGTGATGTGTTGTTGTACCGAAGATATTTTAAGGAAATAGTGCAAAGCAAGTAGCCGGAATCTATGGGTGAGTGTGAGTTCACCCGACTCAGCGAAGATGACGTTCAAAGGAGTGGATATGCGGTAACCGAAGCAAAGACGAAGAGCCTGATTTTGGATGATTTGAAGCGCACGGGATAGATTGTTATGTTTGAGCCCAAAGATTAGAGCCGAGTATTCGATAGATGCTCGTAGCATAGCTCTATATATAGTGAGAAGCATGTGAGGATGAGCTCTCCGCCAGGTTCCTCTGAGAGCCTGGATAATCTGAAGTATGCGTTTGCCTTTATTGATGATGTATGACATGTGTGGTTTACCCGACAGCTTGGGGTCGAGCAATACGCCCAGGAAGCGAACCGTAGGAGATGGTAAAATGAGTTGGTTCTGAAATGAGATGGAGTAGTCCATTTGTGCTAGAGACCTCTTGTTGGAAAAAATTATAAGTTGCGTTTTATCGGGGAGATCTCAAGGCCCCGTTCCAGCAAGAACGACTCTAGGCCCTGAAGGGAGAGCTCAACCGAATTGATTGCGGCTTCGGTATCCTTAAGCGAGGAAAAGATGACAATGTCATCGGCAAATTGCAGAAGCTCGGTGTCAGAGTCAAGTACCTCATTGACGTTTCTGAGGTAGAGATTGAAAAGCGTCGGGCTGAGGACAGAGCCCTGCGGGGTGCCTTTCAGCGCCGATCTTGGCTCGGAGATAGAACCTTGGCTAACAAATTGCACTGAACGGTGGGAAATAAAGTTAGATATGAAAGAAAGCAAGCGAGGGGGAAAGTCCAGTTTGCAAAGATCCTGAAGGAGAACGTGAGGGAGAACGTTATCAAAGGCCGATTTTATGTCAACAAATACCGCTACAGTGTCCTGCTTAACCAAGAAGCCTGCATGAATACCAGCAACAAGAGCGGTCAAATTATCCTGACAGGAACGAAACTTTCTGAAGCCAAATTGATTGTCAGGAAGTAATGGCGTGTCTAAAGTAGGGGACTCAATGAGCCAATACATGCGATTTATAATCATTCTCTCCATGATCTTCAATGAACAGGAAGTGAGGGAGATGGGTCGAACACCGCTACTGTTAGGTTTTGGTAAGAGATGGACCAAAGAGTGGGACCATTGAGGGGGAAAGATGGCGCAGCGGAAATGTCGTTGTAGATATCTAGAAGGGATAAGAGAAGCTCTGAAGGAAGAGCTTTAATGATACGATAGTCTATCCTGTTGAGACCTGGACTGGAGGAGGTTTTAACTGATTGAAGGGCCACACGGAGCTCATTGTAAGTGAAAGGATCGTCCAGCCAGGCCAAACCGCCCCGGTATGGCGAGAGGAATTCAGGAGTCGGAGGAGGACAAGAAGGAAGACATAGTTTGTCGATAGTTTCCTTGACCGTATGTGATATATCCGCGTTTCTGTTCTGAGCCGGGGAGTTAGCGGGTAACAGCCGGCGGTTGCGAAAACGTTTGAGCATGCGCCAGATATCCGCCGTAGGAGTCTTGTCATTAAGAGAATTGCAAAAGGATCTCCAATTATTGCGCTTAGCCTTACGAAGGGTCTAACCTTACGAAGCGCTTAGCCTTGCGAGTCTGTGTTACGACAGAACGGTAGTAGACGTAGTTGTCCCAGGAAGGATGCAATTTAAAGTTCTTAAGGGCGTCACTGCGGTTCTTCACCGCAGAGGAGCACTCAGGAGTCCACCAAGGAGCCGGCGGAAGGCCTTTACTGATGAAAGATGCACGTGCTGTCTTAGTTGATGGAGGCGGTTTCGAAGGAGAGAAATGTTCAAAGCTGGTTGATATGAGTTCCATGAAGGTATTATATTGGGAAACAGGATCATTAGGATCGATATCTTTGATAGTTTGAGAGATAGAGTTTGCCATATTGTGCAGTTTAGACTCTACATCACCCCACTGTTCCTTG